TAGGTTTCTGCCCCTTCCAACATGCTGTGACTATGGAGAAAGCAGTTCTAAAGCACAAGTGGTCTGTTCTGTATCCACCAAGCATCCTGCACCACTATTGCCTGTTCATCCTTATCTGTTACAAATAAGCAGTATTTCTGTTGGTGGACAAAATATGTGAAAGCCAAATGCCAATAATGATGGACCATGGGACAGAGTGAAGGGGCATGGACACTGCAGTGGGTCCATATGCCACTTTTGTTGCTTACCAGCTGTGTGAGTTTAGGTGAGTTACGTAATCTCTCTGAGTCTTAATTTCCTCAACTTCAGGATCATAAACCCTTACCGCACTGGGATCTCAGGAGGATGAAATGAGTTAATACAGACAAAGCACTTTGCACCAATAGGTGCCTAAGAAACGGCAACTGCTGCCATCTTGGGGGACTCTGCAGCTGATCTAATCTTGTAATCCAGTCCCGTGCAGGTCAAAGGAACCGTGGTCTGTGCCCTGTGCAAGGATCATCAAGCCCAGAGCAGAGTGCCTTTGATCTGCATGTCCAGTGACACTATGACAAGGGATTTCAGGGCACAGAGCCTTCAGGCCAGCGTTTCTGTCCTTGTCTTGAGAATGACAGGGACAGAGTAACCTTTTACTTCCTCCCTTCTCTGGATTGACAGATTATCTCCCTGTCACTGCTCCCTGCCTACCTGCGGCAGATTCCCCAGTGAGTTTTGGTATAAAAACAGAGAAGATTAACTCTTAAGGTGTTGGCTTCAGTGCTGTTACCAGAATAACCGTTGGCAGTCATTTATTCAGTCAGATATGAACTAGGTGCCCAGGGGCCAGGATACAGGGACGAACAAAAACTTCACAATCTCTATCACCCTGGAGTTTGTTGAGAGAGGTCAACGTTGAACAAATAAAACACAAAATTGTAATTTTGGAAAGTGCATGAAAGAAAAGAACAGGGCACCCTGAAAGAAAATATCAAAGAGCTGTGACACCATCCATTTTCATTAAAAAGAGCCTTCTGATTGTGTCTGTGTAGACAGGACTGGACAGGGTGAGAGGAGAACAGGAGCTCTCACGGCTGTGCAGGCCGGGGTGGCAGGAGCTGGGGAGAAGTTGTTGGAATCAAGACTGGGAGCAAATGCTCTTCATTTGCCTTAATTATCATAAAATGTCTGCGTGTAGTTTTAATAGTTTTATAATTCCCCCCCTCTTTTAGTCAATACAGAAGACAGCATGTCATCATCATGAAAAATTCTAACTGGCTGGGTGGTTTTGGGCCAGTGGCTTTCCCTCTGTAGGTCTTTTTATTCATTCATTCATTCATTCATTCATTCTTCATTCTGTAAGATAGTGGTGGTGGTAGCAGGTGTTGGTGTCAACAGGTTCTAACATTCTTCTTTGCCCTGTTATTTGGGGATTCCAGGACAAAAGTATTTGCAGATAAGAAATTTTAAGCTTCAAATTAGTAGCAGAAGCAAAAGGCTTAATTATACAGTGAGCTGGATTTCCTATTCTTTAAGAGCTCTTGACTCCCTTTCTCCTTGGCCGGCACAGGTCAGTGAAATCATAATCGTGCTTCAAGCACAGGGTGCGTGAGTCAGAAGAGGTCAAGGCTGCAGGCCCCTCAAGCCAGAACTACGAAGCAAACCCAGTGTCGATGCCCAGGCACCAGCCCAGCTCCAAACCGTGGGAACCCGAGAGGCAGCTGCAGCATGACTCACCTGCTCACGCCGCCTGACACAGGCCGGGTCATAGTTTCCCCAGAACCAGCGAGTTCAAAGCCTGGCTGAAATGATCTAGACACCTGGACTTTAAATTTAAATAGCTCCGTTGTCTCATAGAAGTTAATCCTCTGGTAAAAACATCTTGAAAATAAACCTTCAAATGTTGCAGGTGAGGAAACTTCTCTGGTCCCCAGAGAGGTCAAGTGGTCAGCCTGAGGTCACACTGCTGACTGCCTGGCGAGTCCCAAGACCCTGAGGTTAGGTATGAGGAAGACGTCCTCGGGATGGTATCGTAAGGGAGCTGCATGATTCTGCTGCTAAGACAGAGACACTCAGCCAGACCTCGAATGTGTTGGTCGAGTTGCAGGTTCTGCTTGGGAAGAGTTCCAAGCTGGCTGAGGCCTCAGTGACTTCTCCTTTGAAGTTTCCTGTAATTTGCAGTGGACGGTTCATTGGGAGGATTCCACCCTCTTAACCTTCTAGATCTCAAGGATGCAGGGAAACCAAGACCAGTTCCTCTGCACAGAAAGGTTGGGAACTCCTGATCTCAAGGGTGGTTGGCTTTAAAACGACTGATTTAATATAGAATAACACACATAGTAATATAACATACGCCCAGGTAGCCTCCTGCCACCCAGAATTAATGACTATTAACCTTTTCTCCCAAGGTATTTTGAGAATCTTTTTTTTTCTTTAGAATGGCTCAGGCATCATAAGACATAGGCTGAAACTACCATCTTGCTTGATCAACCAGATTTCTATCAAATCAGAATATAGAACCGGGATAGGAACGAAAAAAATTTTTTGTCCTATTAAAAATATGGTACATAAGTGGACCTGGGATGAGTTCTGACAAATGCTGACGGCTGTGTTTTAAATTGCATTTGCAACTGGAACTACACAAAAAGACATTTTAATTTACCTAACCTTTTTTGGCTGTTTTCACTTCCTCTTAAAACAGGGAATAACCTGGGGGGTTTTTGTTTGTTTTCTGGCAGAAAATGCTTAGTTTCAAAAAAATCAGAGAGTAAAAGTTAAGTTTATTGGGGCCGGCCTGGTGGCACAGCGGTTAGGTGCGCGCGCTCTGCTTCAGCGGCCCGGGGTTCGCAGGTTCGGATCCTGGGCGCGCACCCACGCACCGCTTGTCAAGCCATGCTGTGGCGGCCTCCCATATAACATGGAGGAAGATGGGCACGGATGGTAGCCCAGGGCCAATCTTCCTCAGCAAAAAGAGGAAGATTGGCATCAAATGTTAGCTCAGGGCTAATTTTCTTCACACACACACACAAAAAAGTTAAGTTTACATATTTCCAGTGACGGAGATAAAAAGGAGCTAAATAATTCTAGAAAGTAAAAGTTCAGAGTTTTGTTGCCTAAAACTGTATTTTCATTTGTTAAGTTCTAGAAACATGTTTGAATTGGAAGTCAGGAAGTCTCAATTCTAGGATCAGTGCTGCCATGGCTTTTCCCTTTGTACCTTGTGGACTCATCAGTCCTGATTCCCCATCATATATAACACGAATGGCCAGATGTGGACAGGCAGGGATGACAGGCTCATTTACGCCCACAACACATGGCCTGGGTGTCTTGTGCGCACTGGACCAGCTCTGCCCCTGGGGGTCAAAATCCACCTGCTCCTGGATCCTAGTTTCACCCCCAAGGATCTCTCTAGATACTGGCTTGTAATTATCTGGCTTGGTGACAAAAGTTGTGGTTTCCATTCATTTACCAAACATATTATAAGCACCTTCTTTTGTTTAGGACACAGTTTTTCGCCTTTATTTGAAGAATATCCTGGAAGATAAATTACTTGAGCAATTCCCTAACTGCCAGAACTCTATCCTGGCTAAAAATTCAATACAACGTCTCACCTAAAAACCAAAAACAACTCTAAAGCCATCTCTCCCACCTGGTGCCATTCCAATGCCATCGGGCTGCTCAGGTAAGTAGTCTTCAATCCTCACCGTGCACTTGGGGCTAATATTCTGAATTCTTTGGAGCGATTAGGGTTGGGACTGAGGGAATGGGTCACCCTGGCTCAAACCCAGTACTCTGGACACCAGCTCTAGCCAAGCCTCTCCCTTCTTACTCTTAAAACAGGCAAAATAACGCTTCTTTTACACGCTAGCGCAGTCAGACAGGGAGGACAGCTCCAAGGAGGAGACTCATGACTCTGGCGCTCCATCGTCCAGAGAAGTGAGTCCGGAGCCCTGTGCTGCACTGCCCCGTGCCATGACCTTGGACACAGGACTGTTTCCTCAGGGGGAAATAGGGAGGCTCCAAGCCCAAGTGGTGGTGAAGCTTTGCTGCACCTTCACACAGTAGGTCCCCAATTAATACACATCACTCAACTGGGAAAATGAAGCACACCATTCATTTTTGCAAAATATTTATTAAAAAACTAAAGTGAATGTGGCAAAAAAAACCCAACACAAACCTTTAAATAGCAAGCATATGACACTGGTTATAAAGCTCTTTCAACTCTACTGATCTAGTCTTTCCCAACATCTACTGTCAAGGAGGACCTCTGAGGGAACCACGCATAAACAGGTCATCTGCACTAGTGATGAGCAAAACCTAACGACGCGAGACCTGTCAATGGCCATGCGACTCGCCTTCCTCAGCAATCCACCCCAAACATGAGCGACCAAATCTGAGGAGTGTTCACGGGGACTGTAGTTCTGGTTTTAATGGGGGGTGGGGGGCTGTCGGGGGATAAAACAGTAGACAGAGTCACTGGAGGGCAATCTTTAAGCACCTTTAAAATCTGGACCCTTTTCCACAATTTAACCCAGTACTTCTCAAACTTGACTGTCGTAAATGAGTCACCTGATGAGACTGCTGAATTCACAGGCTCCCCATTCCGCAGGTTGAAGGGGAGCACTCCGGTGATTCTGTGCACACTGGTTAGCCGTCCAGTTGGAGAAACACCGTATAAAATGCATTAAAACGATTCCTACCCCCTAAAAACAAGATAAAAGTAAAGAATCTGCTGACAGTCACTGTGCTTTTGTCAACTTGGCGGGACCAACACAGGGAGGCAGGAGCCTCCCATTCCTGACAGACTGGTCTACAGGAGCCCTGAGCAACCTGTCAAGTGCTGTTCAGCAAGTAAATAAAACTGAATAATCAAGTTGATTTTAGCTCACAGGACAGCCTCCAAATGACTAACAGGCCAACCCCATTCATCCCAGTTTAATGAACTCTGTTGGGCCGGCGCCAGATGGGAAGCTGCTGTTCAGACAGAACACAGGGTATGTGGATCCTGACTTGTGAAGACACAGTGAATAAAACATCTGTAAAAACCTTTATTAACCAGAGAGCACGATGCCCAAATGATTTCAGGGCATCATGGACAACACGTAGAAATAGTCACATTGATTCCAAGGTTCCCATTATCCGCAAAAAGGTGTGCTATGGCTGTGTCAAAAACAAGGCAGTCACTGTTCAGGATGGCTGCGGCCACGCCGTCGTGGATGGACCGCGGCGTGGCCTCCCAGGTCAGTCTCCGCCGGTTCCCGTTCAGCTCCAGCCTGTAGGCAAAGTTCTCGGCCTGCTTGCGGGTGCCGATGAGCAGGACGATGGCGAAGAACTGCTGGTGGCCTTCATACTTCTCCTGTTTCTCCAGCACCAGCATGAAGTGATGGCCGAAACACGACTGCATCATCACCCAGTCGACAGCCCCTGGCAGGTTAATGTCTGTGGCTAGGAAGACGATGTCCTCTCCCTGGAGGGTGGTGATGCTCTTGTGGGCGTGCATGAGATGAGACATCACGGCCTCCAGGGACCCCTGCCACTTGCAGGAAGCGCCGGGACAAGGGCAGGAGTAGGGCCGGTACTCGCAGATGTCTTCGTGTTCCGGCTTCTCCGTGTGGTGCAGGGTCAGGGAGCAGCCCGTGGTGGCGTACTGCAAGGGTGAAAGAGACACACTGAGCCATCGGGCCTTCTCAGAGCTTCCACAGGTGCACGCCTCTGAGAGGACTCACCCACTCAGGCTTTTGGGGCTCAAACTGCATTCTTGTGTCAGCTACTTTTGCTCGAGATGAGTTAAATACTTACAAGTCTCAGTTCCTATTCACCATCAATACAGCCCCGCATGAAATCAGGGGCACGTCCTGAGCCAGGACTGCACTGCATTCCATGCCCCCACTCCTACATTAAAAACTTGAGAACTACAGCGCTCCCACTATAAACATCTCAAACAAAACCACTCAGCCAGCCCTATAAAACCTGACCTTCCCCCTTATTTTCTGTGAATTGAAAGAATTTTTAAAGGAATTTAAAATCGCTTAGGGCTGAGGCTCGGCAAGGAATGTGGGTTATCTCCAGACTGGTTTTCACCTAAAGACCATTCTGAAAATAGCCTAATTCCTCTTTGTTGTCCCCTCCACTTCTTCCTGGCTCCAAGTGGTGGCTGGCAGGCAGGCGGTGGGGAAGGCTGCCCTCTGGGTCCCCGCTCTCGCCTGCTGGCGTGACTGGCCCAGGGCAGGGGAGGGCTGGAGACCCCTCACACTGCTAGAATATCACCTCACCTCCCTCACCTTTTAAACCCTCTCCCCCCAGGGGCTGTAAACATACTTTTTGGGTGAAAGGAAATCACACCCAGGAGCTACTTAACCAACTCAGGAGACTATGGTCAGTTTGGCTCCAGCCAGTGGAGGGTAAAATGAGAAGGGCCTGAGCCCACCAGACGTTCCCCAGACCACTTCCTCAAGGCCAGTGCACACCTCTTCATGACCAGGGACGTCAGGTCCTCATGACAGGCCCAGGAGGAAGGGGAATGAAAGTGGGCCCTGGAGTGGGCCCCTGTCCCAGGTGAGTTTCAGTCAGTCAGCCCCTCAAACGCTGCCTTAGCAGGAGAGGAACAAACCCTTTCCCCCTCGGCACTCCGAATGACATTCCCAATGGGTAAATCACACCCATCATGGAAAAGCCCACGCCAAAAGGTACTAGACTTCTGCTCCCAGCCTTCCCAGGAATGAGCACGTGAACTCCCAGATGCCAGGTGGAGAATCAGCCACAAGCAGACACTTGCCCGGCGCACTGTGCTGGCATCTCGTAAAGAACAAGGAAACCCGAATCACCTTTTCGGGTGAAACCAGATGTCAGCCTCATCCCCTCGAGCACACAGTGGCAGGTAAACTGTCTGTTTACCCCACCTGGACTCCCCCACCCCTACTGAGACATGGGGACACCAAATGAGGGCCGGACCAGGTCATTTTTCTAAGATGTCGTGTCCAACTACTAACAAAACCAAACCCCTACAGCCGCTGTTGCTTCTCCCTACCCCGCCTTCAGGAATAAACTCCTTATGAACTTTCAGTAGGTCCAATTCTAATCTTTACAGCTGAATTTATCCCTAGCAACGAGCAGGCGCTGAGCTCCTCCTCCAGACGAGGCCTAAGCTGACTCACTGACAGGACAGAGAGGCAAAGACGCCGGCCTCCACTCCTCAGGAGATGAGCCTCCCTAATAAGGAAGAAGAGGGCGGCTTAAAGAAAAATGCAGCTCTTTCCTTCCCCATTCCTAAAGTGGATTACAATAATCTTCCACAGAAATTGGCAGAACTATCTCACTGTTATTTACCTTGCACATAGAAATTGCTTATTCATCTTTTTTAACTATGGACTAATTTTAAAAGCATGGGTGTAAAAAATTTAATCAGAAGGAGAAACAAATTTATTTATCCGTATATATTTATACTTTGTGTTCCTAACAAGGATAAGGCCCTAAAAAACAAATTCCTACTAATCATGTTTTAAATCTAGGGTGTGACTAGGAATACAGGGCCTTCCGCTGTTCTTCTGTGAGTGATGGGTGAGGCATTTCTGCCCTAAGTTTAAAAACACACATTCACACAATAAAAATAGCAAGAATTAGCCCAGAGCCTGGCAGATTCTCTGGCTGAAACAAGCCATCAATATTTGGGTCTGAAGACGTTTCAGAACAGGCTGTTCACCACGATGCCCAGGAATAATTCTGGGAACAAGATGAACTTTGGCAGAGAGGCCAGAAAAGTACCAGCTCCTCCTCCTTGACCCAGAGCCCAAACCACTCCACGTTCATGAGCTCCAACGTATGCAAGTATTTATCATCCATCCATCGTTTTAGAATTTTCTCTCGTGTAACTCAAGTAGAATATGTAGATTCTGAATCATATGGTTTGCCTTACAAGTCACACACTCTTCCTTCAACCCAAATACAGAGGACAGGGAAGCTCCCTAAACCACACAAACAGGAAAGGTCTCACTGAGCGTCCGTGTGGACAATGACCTTATGAGAAAAGACCCTGCGACAGCCTCCATTAACTCAAATAAACCTACTGTTGAAGTGTTAGGTGTTTGCTCTGCTTTTTCTAGACAAGCTAACTTGAATGTCAGTCTGCTCCTCCCCCGTTCCGTCAGGGGTGAGGGCGCGTCTTCATGACCACTGGTGCACTTTATGATGCTGGACTAGAGACGCTCTCTAAAAAGAAAAGATCTAGACTTTATACACGTGCACATACACACACACACACACACACACTCTGCTGCCACACTTCATACTTGTAACAGTCTCAGCACTTCTGGAATGACATTCCAGAGCATGGTGGGTGTTCTTGTTGCCTACAATAGGGGCTGTCATAGGAGAGATCAGAGGGAGGGCTTCAGGCCTGTGAATTCCCCGAGATTGTATATCCAGGGGCCTTGAGCAGCGACCCAGATTGCGCTGGCCCCTGAGCTGGTGTTTCCCTGACAAGCTCCTGGGGTTTCTAAGGGCTGTGAACCTCCACCCTAGAACACACAGAGATTCCAAATCAGCCAGATCCCGCCCTTGGGTTTCCCATCGAGAGGAGCCCTACACTGCAACAACAGACAACTCAAATACACCAGAAATACAAATGACCAAGGAAGACGGGGGGACAGGTGATTTCACAGTGGGGATGGTGAGAAGGGGGAGGAAAGTTTCCCTGTGGACAGAGAGGAGTGTGGATGGAGTGGTTCCATCCGGTCTAGCACAGGGTGTGTGGGGATAATACCTAAGGGGGGAGGCAGGCCTGGATTCTGCAAGGGACTGGACCGCCAGTTTAGTTTATTTCAGGGTTTCTCTCCAGTGGCACTACTGACATGTTAGACCAGATAATTCTGTGTGGTGGGGGCAGTGCTGTGCATTGTAGGATGTTGAGCAGCATCCCTGGCCTCTAACTACTAGATGCCAGTAGCAACTGCTCCCCACCTTCCCCGTCATGACAACCAGAAGTCACGAGGCATGGCCAAATGGCTCCTGCGGGGCAAAGTCGCCCCAGTTGAGAGCCACTAGTTTTTCGACGAATGACAAAACCTGGCCGGGCACCACAATCACAGCTTCGAGGACAGGCGTCCTGGCCCCTCGTCCTCCACCGGAAAGCAGGTCAGGCCCATCAGTGCCCCGTCCCACGCCCACGACCCGGGACAGCTCAGGGATCCAGCCCCACACACAGCTAGATTCTGATCGTCTGCAAAGCACGGAGGTAGCCAGGGAGCTGGTTCGGCCCGTCTCACAGACTGGCTGACTCATTACAGCCACAAGGTCACTACTCGTGGCCACAGCAGGGGTGGAGCTGCATCCGTCCCCTGCTCCTCCTCTGTCCCCGGCTCCTCCTCTGGGGCTCTTTCCCTGCACTTACCAGCTTAGGAGTCAAACAAAGAATCAATGTTTTGAGAAAAAGAAACAATTTACCTCTGCCTTGATCCCCAGCCCCCAGCCCCCAACCCAACACACACACACCCAGGGCCCACAGGGTTCTAATATTAACCTCCTCCTTGGTTTGCAAGGAGAAAAACAGCCTGGCAGGCCTCTCCCTCAGGAACCGGGCAGCAACACCTCACAAATAAGGAACCAGTAATTAGCCCTCTCTGGCATCTCCCGGAACATCCTGAGGTTTCACTTTTCACACTCTGAAAGGGCCTGCCCACCAGACGTGAGGGTCCAAGGATGCCCTCCTCCTGGAGACGCCCGGCCCCCTGCTGCACTCTGGTGCCTGAGATACAGCTCCTGGACGGTGCGCAGAGGCTGCCTGCGTGTCCTGGGATACGTCCACAGCTACAAACGAGATGTCTCCACAGGGAAGTTCTGCTCCTGCCCCCTGGGGGTGGGCGTGCGGTGGGAATTTGCTGTAAGTAAACCTGGGGGGGGGCACTGGTGGGAGGCACACAACCACACAGAAGCCCAAAGCTGAAGAATGGAGGGCGGGAAGATGGACCAGCAGAAGGAGACACAAAATGTTGAAATAACATTTCTGACTTCTCTGTAGAAACCTTCCGTGTTGCAGTGGCTCAGAAGTCTTGTGCAAACGTGTTCTGCCATGACAGGCAATGTGTGACCTGGTGCCTCCTTTGTAAGTCTTTGCAGAAAGCAGTAAATAGTGCTGATTTGTTTCCTGGGCATGGAGTTTGAAGGCTGTTTTTAAGCTGGAATATAGACAGGGCTTTTCCCTTTTTGACACAGAAACCCCTTTACACACAAATACACATGACAAGACAGGTCAGAAACATAGTCAAATACTAGACACCTGTTATTTACCTAATAAACACAGTCACATTATATTTGTTTATGGAACAATCATATAAGCAGAATAACCTTCCTCAGCCGGGGTGCTAGTGAAGGTCATGGTTCCTGTGACTGGTTTAGAACAAGTCATTTAACCTATTTAATTAAATTTGAGTCTACGAGATCCAAGAAAGATGTGCTGAACCCCAACAATGAGGGCGCCGTGAGCTCCAGGCAGAAGCAGGTCCTTCCCCGGGGCTGAGGTCACCGCCCGGCCGCCATCTGCTCACCTCCCGGGAAACGGTGAAACGTGAAACGTATTAGCAAAGCATGTCCCAGCGCCTCAAAAGAGAATGTCTCAAGAAAAACAAAGCACAATCAACATTTTATTGTTGATGGTCGTAAACTTCTGAATTAAATCCAAGAAATGACCTTGTCTTGGAGTAAGCAAAAGCAAACCTCACTTTCCTTCAATCTACACAAGCTGTCATCACAAAATGCACACTGATGGCTACGCAATGAGTGACCCTGGACTGGGAAACAAAAATGATACAAAGGGCGTTACTGCGGCAACAACCGAACTCTGCACACAGACTGAGCATGAGATAACAGTGTCTACTGCAGGTCGCACTTCCTGATTTTGATAAGCGTACCATAATTACGTAAGAAAATGTCCCTGTTTTTAGGAGAAACATGGTGCAGTATCTAGGGGTCAAGGGGCAGCATGCCTACAATTTACATTCAAATGGTTTAAAAACACAGGTATGAATGGAGAGCGCACAAATGATAGAGCAAATGTGACAAAAAGGAGACAACTGGTGAATCAGAATAAAGCGTATGTGGGTATTTTTTGTACTATTATTGCAACTGTTGTGTAAATTTGAAATCATATAAAAATAAAAACACATTAAAAGAATCCAGGGACTGAGTTGGCATATTTATCTTTTATGGGATAGAGATTCCTTTTGCAAAGTTGGTTGAATGAGTTAAGTTTTATCATAAGTGTTTTTTTTTTCTTTTTTAGAGAAAACATACTTTTAACTACATATCCACATGTAAACACAACTAAGTTAATAGTTTTTCTCTTACTAGAAGCTTTTGGGATGCATTTTAGTGAATCAATAAAATTGTGCAATGCAGACATCAATTGTTGTAATAACCCACACTTCTTTGACCCCCACAGAAGACAAAGCCTTCACCGCTGCTCCTCTGATCCTTCTAAAGGTCTGTGGGCACCTGACAGATCCGGGGTGCTGGACTATAGTTTCCAGCCTCTGCAGTTTCATTATCCACCACCCTGAGTGGTCCAAGGTGAACTCCTACTGGATTCCAGACCCCATCTGAAAGAGGAGCTCCAGGAATGACTTACCCCAACTCCTTCCCCTTACATGCTGACCCCGTTAGCATTGGGCAGGTGAACCCCAAAGATGGAATCAGAGTATGTGAGCCCAACTGGAAGGATGAATTCCTGGCAGGATAACTTATTATGTATGACCAGCAGATAATTAGGGGCCTACTGGCTGGAGTCTCTCTTCTCAACAATCTTTAGACTTGTTCAAATGGGAGTTGTAGCTACACCTGGTATAGACCCAAATCACAGCAAAGCT